TAGGATGGGGGAACTGGGAGGCTGGGGTGAAAGGAAATAGGATAAAGGATAAGTACTATCTTAATACAGCATCCAAGTGGTTTGATTCTGGGGAACGCGGGTTTGGCCGCAATGACGCTTTATTCTAGCAGTGCCCTTTTAATTAGATAAAGGAGAACACAGGACCCACTTATTGCATTTAATAGCGCCTATTATCGTGACCAAATGATACTTGGCAAGTGTAGAATAGTCCGGATCAAGGTGTATAATACGGTGCTAGAGTGCCTTCTCAACTATAAGATATAGGTTAAAAGATACCTGTAAGTAGCTGTAGGAGTGGTAATTCTTGGCGACCAATTCACAGGTCTTCAGATTACAGTTATGTCTCGTATTCACACGCTCGGGAGAGAGACTAAGTTGTCTAGGTACTCTAAGGAATCGACTCTATGCTAAATCGGTAGAACTTTTACACCTGCAACTCAAACACTAAACGGAGAAGGGGCGGTCTTCGAATAACGATCTGCAGTGGAAAGCGGCATGAACAACGAGTAGCTGGCGACATAAATGTTATAGCAGCGAGTTCTTGGACCCGAGGCTCGGCGAGGAGATCAGGTATTTCTATACAGCTGCGTGACCGGACGGTGGACTTTGGTTCCACTAAGCTCCCTTTCAAGCCTTCTACTTGACCAATCCATGCATCCTCTTTCCTCTGGGCTCAACTGGATACATTCCCTCCGCCGGCAGACCAGGTCATCTAGTACTTGGGGCGATTGGGATCACCCTGACCGACCTACATCAGTGGAATTCCAGATCGTACAACACGGCGGCCACAGCTCTGCCATCGATTTGATGCCTTGTCGATTACAGTGGGCGAAGAAAGAATCAGCCAACGAACGGGAACAACTGATACGCGCGGTTTACGAGGCCTCGTACCTCCGAGCGGAAAATGCCTACTACCGGAAAGTACGGCGCGCCGCCATTCTGTTTCAGGCCGATATCGCGTCCATTCTACTCAGTCATGACTCTGTACGGCAGTTGCGCGTGTGTCTTCAGCAGATTCAGCAAGCTACTGCCCAGCAAAGCAGACGGTCAATCTGGCGGCGACGGAGCGTGTTTGGGTCACCAGCAGTATCCAGCGCGAGCCTCCTCTGCACCGCACTTGAAGATCTCGAGCTCGCACTGAACCGGCTTGACGACAACTACACTAGGCTTCAGAGAGCCCACGCAGCTTTCGCAGAAGCTCTGCGACAGATTGATCAAGAGTACGCAGATTTCTTCTCTATAAAGTTAGGCAACGAGCCCGCGCACTTCTAGTTCAAATGCCAGGTACGACCTGGAGTCAAAGCAGAGGCGCTACCTGTCAATCGTAACACAATAATTTCCGCAATCATTTATAACATTGCAACGGTACATAATGTACATACGTGACCATAGAAATCAGCTGGCAGAGGCGGTAATAGCAAAAATATCAACAAAATCAAAGCAGTCCCCGCGACGGCCACAGTATTCCCGGGAACGAAGGCATATAGGCTTTTTACACCTGACCAGGTGCATAAACATTGCTTCTTAAACGCTGTTATGCTCCTTTTCTTGGAAGCGTAGGTGTGAGCAGCATTTAGTGCATTGAACCTTGATCGGACGGCGTAGTAATTGGTGGGGACCGCCAATAGATGTAGCCAAGGATTTCCAGAATCGTTTCCAGTAACTCATGCTAGCATTCATTCGGTCAGCCGCGCACCAGAATGGTCTATGTCTCGCATACCTCCTCAGCAATAGCTGCATCAATTTCCGTACACGAGATAAGCCAGTTGACCGCCTCGTGCTCCAGGCTTAATGAATCAATCCACCAATCGACTTGGTCAATATCCCAGCGTCCAGTCGTAGTCCGAAGATAGGGGCATTGCTCTAGGATCACCTGCAGCATCTGCCAAACCGCTGAAAGTGGACGCCGATAACCACGAACGTGAAGGATGTGTGAGACAGCAAGATCAGTGAAACCGCGAGATATGAAGTAAATCAATATAATGACCTCTGCATCTGACCACCGATCGTCCATTCTGTGGTGATGGCTGTAATAGCAACTTCTGCGGCCCCAAGCAGACGGAAATGCGCAGTGATGGCTATCCCGAAAGGGGTGCCACAAGAGACCTCTGCATGGACAATAGTCATACGAGAAGCAATGTGAGCTAGAATGGCAGGTCGTTAGCGCCCAATTCAACACTGGCTGTATCATTGAATACACCTAATCATCTCTTGTTCCTAACCCCGCCGAGCCTGTTCCACTGAAGAACGGACAAGGCACGACTAAATCGCCCTTATTGGGGTCTAGTGTACTACCTATTAGTGTATCTAGTGTTGACCATGTCCAGGTGGTTCTCTCAATAGTACGTATACTGTTACCAGCTTTCTCTTGGTAAAATGATGAATATAAAGAATAAAAATTACATTGCGTTGCAAATCCGAGTACGTATCCAAAGGAACGACCCAGGCTTGTGGGTGTGAGACCTGCTAGACGCGAAATCTGCTGATTACATGTACATGGACCACCGTATAGCTCAAAACGCATGCAATCAGCATAAATTGAATTTCGTGTTCGGACACTGTTTATGATATGATGTTCTTAGGCTTGCGCATCTTGTGCACAGTGCTCGTCCTTGTCTTCTATCAGCGCATTATCTTCATCACATAGGGACATTAATTGCTTGGGACCGGCAACCACCACAGCATGTCTCAGGTGGCCAGGAACGGCTGCCGGATCAACTAGGCGGTGCCCTTTAGAGGTCAGTCTTGCATAGACGAAGTGAGGATGGCTGTCAAGGTATTGCTTAAAAAGGCGACGCGCGCGGGGCAAAGGCAAATAGTACACAGTTGCCGGTGTTCCCATCTCGTACAGAATGCCTTTACCCTCTGCTCCTGATGATCCTGGCGATGGCAGGTCTTGCGGCCTCTTCCGAGTCTTCCACCCCAGAAGCCCGAGCCGAGAATGTGACGAGCCAGCAACCGGTGACACCGCGGTTGGAGGACATTTGTGGACTGGTGTATGTTTGGGGTGGGGAGAATCTATTCGTGTGCTGGATGAACTGAAGGGATTACTGTCGCCTATCCGTACCAGCTCCGCCGAATCAAAGAGCGGCCTTCTGGCAGGCTCACCATGTGATGAGGCGGCTGGGGAACCATAGCTAGACGGGCTGTAATCGATTCGTTGCCCGGGTGTGGTACCATCCCGCCATACATCGTGCAGCAGCAGCTCGGCACTAGTCCTCCGCTTATCTGTTTCCAGATGACTGCCATTAGTGGCAAGAACCCTCCTTGGCTCGCGACACAATGAGGGGGATAAGAGATGCACACTGTGATCCGGGCTTTGAAAGGTGGCCACAGGCTGAGACGAAAGGAATTTATGCTCCTTGTTTCGGCCCTTGTAGGTGCGCAGGGACGGACTTGCGACCGGTTCGGGTAAGGTTGGAAGGTTGCCAAGGAACGCCTGAAAGATATCCCGAGCGACCGCAAATGGAGTCAGGTCCTCTCCTGCAACACAATCCCGGTGGGTGTCTATATTATGCAGCGTCAGGAACGGCTGACTTTGCAAAAACGTCATTTCAGAGGGCATGCCGCACCGATGGCGCAGCTTCCAGGGGCCTGTCCAATTTCGGGTTAAGTGGGGCTCTTGGAAGTGTCCCTGGCGTTGACATTGAACTGGTCGGAGCCCCCACTGCTGGAGTATCGCAGCAATTTTGGGTGTACGAAAGCCCTGCGACCACGCAAGATGAGCCAGGGCCGTCCAACAGCGCTTAGATTTCTCCCGCGATCGATGGACGCGTCTTGCTGCTCCACGACGGTCGCGTAGAGGCATGATGCTGACCAGATGGGGGAAGCACCGCATGGTGAATAGCCATAACCGTCGGTATGCGTGGAGGAACGTCGCTCGGCCATTTTTTGTATGCGGTTCGGGTGCGCTGTAATAGTGCCAGAGGCAAGTTTGGATTGTATCCCCAGGAGCATCTGGGATGAGCCTTCGCAATGCCAGCGCACACGGCAGGAGATATTTCGTATCCTCCATAAACGTGCGTAGCGACGGAATGATAGTCGCTACAGAAAGAAGCCGACGGGCAAGGAGCACACGTCTCTCTGGGTCTGTCACTCCCGGAAAGAGTACGCCTATCGACAGGAGGCGCCTGATAAAATCGTGGTCAGTGGTAGACCATACCGGCGACCGGCCCTGCAACAGCCGAACAGATTCGGCATCCAAATCGGAGACATGTTGGGGGCCCATGATATAGGCCCAGACATTCAGGATGTGCTGGATGTAATGCGCATGCTCCTTGCACTATGTCAGTCTGCATTTCTGGTTGATCTGCAACATTTGGGATGTTGCGGGTTTCCTACATGTGGGCATTTCATACGCAGCAATCGGTTGATGTTTCCCGCCATGAACCCAGGACGGAGCCCAGGAATCCGCA